CAAAAAATCAACCGAGTTCTGGTAGAAATCCAAACTCGAATCCATAAACTTTAAACGCTGAAGCCGTCTCTGATTATCGTTCATGTGATCTTTTTTTTTTTTTTAAGATTTATCTGTTATACACTCCTTAAAAGATATATTTTGTTCACTTAATCATACGAGTATGTATCGATTACCCTTGATCTCTATTTAAAGGTAGGCTTGAAAAATGAAAGGAATAATAATGACTCGGTATTTCTAGATTGTCAAATATTATTTTGAAATAAATTGATCAACAACAACAACAACCTAGTAAAATCTCATAAAGTGGGGTTTGGGAAGGGTAGAGTGTACGCAGACCTTACCCCTATCCCGAAGAAGTAAAGAGACTGTTTCCAGGAGACTCTCGGCTCAAAAGGCGAACAAATATTTTGAAATAAATTGAATTTACAAAAAGCGACCATGTCCTGGTTCGAATGAGAAGGTATGAGAGCAGGGGCGGATTTATAGCCCTAATTATGGGGGCACATGAAACCATGGTCTCACTGTCAAACTAGGTATTTTATGTATGTATTTTCTAAAAATAATTTAATATAATCTGTTGGCACCGATGCTACAAAAGATTGAATGGTGCACTTGATGAATATTGAGTTATTTACCTTCATGATGAACAAGGATCTATTCTCACTTAATGCGTTTTTTTAGTGGTGCATCCATGTTCAAGAAATCCTAGATCCGTCTCTGTACGAGAGAAAAATCACTTCTGGCCCGGTTAACAATTGATTTTTTGTTAGTTTATGAATATCCTTTTTACTTTATTTTTCATTAAGTATGTGCAATTTCATAACCTATTAAATAAGACCTTTTAATCTTATGGTTTTAAATTAAAGTCGTTTATAAAGTACCATAAATGCTCTTTAATTATTGTAGTTTAAGTATGCCATATCATTACAAAAAAGGGGGTGAAATGGAATGTTGAAAATAAAAAAATATTAAATATTAATGAATAATTCTTTTTAAAATAAACTAAAAAAATAAAGGAAACACATAAGTAAAAGAGATAAAGTAAGTTTTTTCAGTTGCGTCTCGAGCTCCCAAATTGTTTTTATGTTATATCTTATCATACGCAATATTTTAACTTTTATATATAATAACCATACGGCTATCTCACTAGAGTTTCCAATTATAATTTGACTATCAAGAATCAGAGTTGAATGATTAATCTTATGTTTTCTCTCCAGTGACATTATTTTCTTATGTTATCCCTCCAGTGACATTATTTTAAAATATAATAAGACAATTACTAATATAGTACAATATTGATGACAACTTTACAATGAAGACATATAATTATATAGTAGTAGTAGGAAAACTTAAGTAATTAAATAATAACAAATCAGTTTCGTAGCACAGGTATCAGATGACGTGTGAAGATATCCCCACAGTCAAATCGATGTGAAATCCACTGTTTTGTTTGTGGTGAATTTTATAATTCTTCAAAAGTTTTGGGGATACTCATAATAAATTGGAGAGAGAACGATATTCTGCTATTTAAATATTTTTTTATTACTGCCAAAGTCATCAAACTTGTCCGGTTGTCCCCTTCGAGGAAGATAATTATAACGTCTACTGACGATGGATAAGATAAGAGTTTAATTTATATATATATATAGAGGAGATCATTCAAAAAATATTTATATATAATACAGTCAGACCTCTCTATAACAGCATCCCTATATAATAACATTTACTATAAAAGCTAAACTTTTTCGCAACCAATGTTTATATTATGTTATAATATATATTTTCTATAACATCACTTCGCTATAACATTCAAAAATATTCGAAACAAACGAGGTTGTTGTAGAGAGGTTTGACTGTATTCGCAAAAAAGTGAACTTATGATCTTGAAAGATAAAAGACTATATATATCTGTAACATGTAAAGATGATTTGATAGCGAAAATTTTCTTTATTTTACCGATGGAAAATAGTTAAACTCATTTCGTATGAGCATGTTTTTTTTGTTTTTTTTCACACGATATTGCATGAAAATGAATACTTATCCGCTGGTTTATATCATAGCTGGTGCATCTACACACGTTTCTAAAAATATGAAAAAATAACTACTTCTAATATTAGAAATAGAAGGAATCATAGAAAAAGTTTTTAGATTCATAGAAGAGATTCAGCAGAAGGTGAAATATATTGAATTATGGTTGGATATAATCTCAACCTTAAACCTAAAATGGAAGTAAAAGGGAAAAATGAAGAAGAAGAAGAAAGAGCTTCGATATATCAGAGATGGAAGGAGAGAATGAGTTAGTTGTTACTGTACAAACTAACTATTACATATATGTAGCTCACTTTACAAATACCCCACCTAACTATTGATATTTACAAGAAAGCCCCACTACTAATTAAGTAACTCCTATTTCCACACTCCCCCTCAAGCTGGTGGGTACAGAAACATTGAGTACTTCCAGCTTGCCCGTTAATGATCCATGTTGTATCCTCGTGAGTCCTTTTGTCAATATATCTGCCAACTGATCCTTTGAAGCCACATGTTGTGTCTTGATCAGCCCCATTTGTATTTTCTCTCGGATGAAATGACAATCAATTTATATGTTTAGTCCTTTCATGATATACCGGATTGGCAGCTATTTGCAAGGCTGCCTTGTTATCACAATACAATTCAGCTGGTAGTACCACATCTGCTCCCAATTCCTTTAGCAATCCAATCAACCAAACAGCTTCAGATATAGCACTGGCCATGCTCCTGTACTCAGCTTCTGCTGAACTTTTTGACACTGTGTTTTGTTTCTTTGACTTCCAAGAAACTAGTGATTCACCATACTTGATCAAAAAACCTGAAACTGATCTCCTTGTGTTAGGACATGCCCAATCTGCATCACAAAACACAGAGATCTTATGTAACTTCTCACTATTGAATAATACTCATAGACCTGGTTCCGTCTTTATGTATCTAGCATCCCTCGTGGCTGCATTCCAATGAGATCATTTTGGTTGTTGAAGGAATTGGCTGAGTGTTTGGACTGTATATGCTATATGTGGTCTTGTTAATGTCAAATATAGTAATTTTCCTATCAGTCGTTGATACTGCCCCTTGTCTTCAAGTAGATCATCATCTTTGTTGCCTGTCAACTTGTCATACTCTGACACAGTGAGTTTCACATTGACTTCAAGAGGTGTCCAAGCTGGTTTAGCATCTCCAAGCCCTAATTCTGATATAATCTCCAAAGCATATTTTCTTTGATTAACCAGGATACCTTTACTTGACCTGCTGAATTCCATTCCTAAGAAAAACTTTAGTTCTCCTAGGTCTTTAATCTTGAATGCCTTGTGTAAGGCATCTTTTGTTGTCTGTATCAACTGCTGATTATTTCCAGCAATCAACATATCATCAACATAGACAAGAATAACTACTATATCATCCTTATGTTGTTTAATGAACAAAGAATGATCAAGGCTGCTTTGTTTAAAACCTGACTTTAATAGAGCTTCTGTTAATTTCAAATTCCATTGTCTGCTGGCTTGTTTCAATCTATACAGGGATTTAACAAGTCTGCAAACTAGCTGAGGTTTGCCAACTATCTCCCCTTGACTTGAAAATCCCTGTGGCAACTCCATATAGACTTCATCAGTTAAGTCTCCCTGCAAGAAGGCATTGTATACATCCATCTGTTGAATATGCCAGTTATGCATAGCAGCTAGTGATAGCACAGTTCTGACAGTAGCAATCTTAACTACAGGGGAAAATGTTTCATTATACTCAAGTCCCTCCTTTTGACTATATCCTTTGGCAACTAGTCGAGCTTTAAACCTTTCAATTGCTCCATCTGCTTTAAGTTTGACCTTGTATACCCATCGACACCCAATGGGAGTCTTCCCTGGTGGCAAAGAGACCAACTCCCAGGTATTGTTGAATTGTAGTGCTGCTAATTCTGTCTGCATTGCCTCTACCCATCGAGCATCTTTGCATGCCTCATAAAAAGATGTAGGCTCAGATATTGCTGAAAAAGCCCCTAAATATGCTTTGTGAGAGGAGGATATATAATCATAGGTGAGATAGTTGGCCATAGAGTGAGGTTTCTTAGATGGCAGAGGCACTACATAGTCTGTCAACCACAATGGTTGTTTAGTCACTCTTCCAGAGTGGAAGGACCAGGTAAACTACTATGTGAGAAGTCACTGTGTGGTACTGATTGTTCATAGAAGAACCATTAGGTGGACTTGTATCAATGGGCAGGAGATGAGATGGTGTATTGGTTTCTTGCACAGCAGTATCTACAGAAGCTTGAGGCTGCAATGTCTCTACTACAGGGGTATGGATGTTAGAATTAATATCTGCAAACAAAAAAGGATTGTTAGAGAAACCACCTTCCTGACAGGAAGTTGGTAAGACAGGCCCCTCAATACCCTTGAAAGGGAACACTCCTTCTTTGAAAACAACATCCCTATTGATAAAGAACTCCTTTTTCTCCAAATTGTATAAAAGGTATCCTTTGGTGACATTAGAATACCCCATCATCACTGCTTTAACTACCCTGGGACTGAATTTATCTTGTCTAGGCAGAACACTAGCAAAGCATAAGCACCCTAAAGTTCTCAAGTGTAGCATACTTGGCTTCTTCCCATGAAATAATTCATAAGGTGATCTTCCCTGTAGAACAACTGAAGGTAGCCTATTGATAATATACACAGCTTCCAAAACACAATGTCCCCAAAATCTCAAGGGAATGTGTCCCTGAAATCTATTGGCCCTTGCCACTTCAAGAATGTGTCTTCCTCTCAGCTACTCACTTTTGCTGAGGAGTATAGACACATGTTCTTTGATAACTATACTAGTTCTCTTAACAAACTAGTGAAGTTATGTATCAACTAATCGGTCCCATTGTCTGATCTTACTGTTTTAACCATAATGCTGAATTGAGTGTGTACCATTTTAAAGAAGCCTTTTAATACAATGAACACATCACTCTTGAACTTCAGCAAAAAAATTCAAGTCACACGAGAATAGTCATCCACTATTGTTAGAAAATACTTGTTGCCATCAACAGTAGAAGTGCTATAAGGTCCCCAAACATCTAAATGCAGTAGTTGAAAAATTTCAGTGCTCTTACTGTCACTAGAATGAAAAGGTAGCCTTGTGTGTTTAGCTAAAGGACAAACATCACATTTATCTATTACATCTCTACAATTTTCAATAGGTAACCCAAGGATCGCTCTCATAGCTCCTCCAGAAGCATGTGTTAGCCTTCTGTGCCACAAAGAGACATCAAGTTCCTTCTCCTGTGCACTTAGCCCTTCACTCATTTCTTCTCGTTCATCAGCAGGTAAGAAAAGATATAATCCATCTTTCTCTTTACCAATCCCCTTGATTCTCCCACTTAAGAGGTCCTGGAACAGGCAAAAATGAGGAAAGAATGTGACTGAACAATGTAGGTCTCTAGTTACCTTAGAGACTGACATAAGGTTGTACTGAAAATCAAGTACAAACAATACATTCTTCACTATTTGTCCCTTAGAAATTATGCAATCACCTATGTGTGATACTAGATTCACTTGGCCATTAGGCATGTGCACCTTCCTACAACTCCAGGAATCAAGCTTTTTTATATTCTGTAGCATACTTAAATCTGATATCATATGATTAGTTGCTCCAGTGTCTATTATCCGTTCCTTTCTATCTGTGTTGGCCATAAAGGATTGTATCATACCTACCATGTTAGCCATTGTGTTTTGTGGAACATCTTTGTTTAGCATCATCATAATCTGGTTGTACTGATCAGCTGTAAATTGTGGTGGCTTAGGAAGATCAGTCATGTATCCCTTGTCTGTTGCTTCAACTCTTCCTCCACTTGTCCTGCAACATTAGGATTACAATTCTCAGCACTTACATTGTAAATAATATTAGCACTTGCAACATTGGCTCCTGATCCTTTTTTCTTGTACTTAAAATCAGTAGGATATCCTACTATTTTGTAACATGTCTCTTTTGTGTGCCCTTACATTTTGCAAAAATCACATTGCAAATTCCAATTCTTCCTAGGCCTCTGGCTTTGTCCCTAATAGTTTCCTTGAAAACTTCCTCCTTTTGTAGTCATGAAGGTTGTGGCCTCTGAATTCTCGCTCATCATAGACACATTAGAGACAGCTCTTTGGATCTCTCTCTCAATGATCATCGCATATGCTTTGCTAACATTAGGTGTAGGGTTTGTCATAAGAATTTGACTTCGCGCCTGTTCATAGTTCTCATTAAGCCCCATTAAAAACTGCATTAGCTTCTGTCTGTGAAGATGTTCAACAAATTCTCTATCACGACAAGCTGGAATCATACTCTCATATTCATCCCAAAGCTCTTTGAGCTTAGTAAAATATGTCGACACACTATTAGTTCCTTGACATAAAGTTGCAATCTCTTTGTGCAATTGATAAATCCTAGATGCATTGATTTTATCAAAACGCTCCTTTAGATCTTCCCAGACTCGACATGCATCTTTGGCATATACTATTCCCGTTACTAACTTCTTCGACACAGAACTCATAATCCACCCCAAAACTATTGCATTACATTTGTCCCATTGATGACCTAGATTCTCTGCGACATCTTCTCGTTTCAAGGTGCCGTCGATTAACCCTAACTTGTTCTTACCTAACAGTTGGATTCTCATCGCACGGCTCCAAATCGAGTAATTGTCTGATCCGGTCAATTGAATTGACACAATCGGAGCTCCTGTTGTGTCTGAGGGGTGTAGATACAGTGCATGGTTGTGATCGAGCGTGTTTGCCATTGATGAAGGAAAAGCAGAGAAAATGGAAATTCTTCTCAATCGATAGATTTACTTACTGGATTTGCAATTTTAGCTCACAATCGTGGCTTGATTGCTCTGATACCATATTGAATTATGGTTGAATATGATCTCAACCTTAAACCTAAAATGGAAGTAAAAGGGAAAAATGAAGAAGAAGAAGAAGAAAGAGCTTCGATATATCAGAGATGAGGAAGGAGAGAATGAGTTAGTTGTTACTGTACAAACTAACTATTATATATATGTAGCTCACTTTACAAATACCCCACCTAACTATTGATATTTACAAGAAAGCCCCACTACTAATTAAGTAACTCCTATTTCCACAAAATAAATAAATAAATCGAGTTACCTAAAAAAAGATATTTGCACATTAATTAAAATATATAACATAACAAACAATATAATTAGTAAATGGTCTTCCACTTTATTGGTGCTTAATTACATCATTTGATGTTGACAAGGGATGCATTGAAAGAGTTTTATTAATTTTAATCCCCCTTTCTATATTCTAAAAAGGAAATATAAGGATAACGAAAAAAGTTTTTGCAAAAAAAAAAAAAAATACCAAAATTTAGTCTTGATTCAAGTTACTTTAATTATTTATTGAATGAGCTCCTCCAAGTTTACATATACGTAACAACTTTTTTTTTTTTTTTTGGTTTTCACCCGGTGTCCTGTAACCGAATTGAAACTCGACTACATTCGAATTCGCGCCACATAGGGCCCCGGTCGGGGGGAAGCGCTTCCCTACTAAGGATTTTTTCATACCCAGAGCTCGAACTTGAGACCTCTGGTTAAGGGAAGAGCAGCCCTATCCGCTGCACCAGACGGTCATATACGTAACAACTACTACTATTTGTGATTTGATATTACGTATTTTCAGTCGTTCACTGTCAATATTTACGTTTATTTAACCTGCACATAAGCATTGCAATCTGAAAATGTGACATTTTGGATTTAAACAAATAATTAAGATTTCAAATCAAAATCTTAAACCAAGAAGAATGAAATGTTATTCCCTTTTTATACGTTTCTCAAAAGTTAATACACTCGTGTGAAATTTTTCTTTTTAACTTAAAAACTCTTTTGATTATTTACTCCAGTTCCTTAATTTTGATTAATAATTATAAACACGCCCATGCATGTGTTTTCAAGAACAAACAGTTAATTAGAATCCTATATAACGAAAATCCTACATATATTAAATTGTGTGTAGAATTTTTAAAATGTCAGGAGCTGATTGGTTGGTTGGTGTATTCATTATTGGATCAAATTATAGAGGTTCTTCGATTAATACTTTACTTTAAACAATATTTTGCAATCAGAACAAAACTATTATATAGAAATGGTCCTTTTTAAATATATCAATATATTAAAATAAATAAAGACAGAAGAAGTCCATGTAACAACCTGGCCGGTCATTTTAAGAATTTACGCCCAGATTCTCTATTAACTGCTTTCCCCGTGTTTGTTTCTGCTATTCTGAGTTGCCGGGAGGTTTCGTTTTGAGTTTCGAAGTGTTTTGGGACACTTAGTCCCTAAATGAGAGTTTAAGCTTTAGAATTCGGACCGTAGTCGGAGCAATGTGAAGACGTCCTCGGAATGGAATTACGTTGGTTCCGTTAGCTCCATTGGGTGATTTCGGGCTTAGGGGCGTGTTCGGATTGTGTTTTGGAAGTCCGCAGCTTAATTAGGCTTGAAATGCCGAAAGTTAAATTTTTTTAAAGTTTCTGGTTCGACAGTGAGATTTTGATATCGAGGTCGGAATGGAATTCAGAAAGTTGGAGTAGCTCCGTAGTGTTGAATGTGACGTGCTTGCAAAATTTAAGGTCATTCGGACGAGGTTTGGTAGACTTTTTGATCGAAAGCGTAATTTGAGAGTTTTTGAAGTTCTTAGGCTTGAATCCAATGTTAATTGGTTGATTCGATGTTGTTTGAGGTGATTTGAAGATTTGTATAAGTTTGGATAGTGGTATATGACTTGTTCGTGCTTTTGGTTGAGGTCTCGGGGGCCTCGGGTGATTTCGAATGGTTGATGGAAGATTTGGAGTTGAGTTTGGCAGCTGAAGTTTATTGCTGCTGTCATAACCGCACCTGCGATTGGGAGGCCGCAGGTGCGATGCTCGCTGAAGTGGATATGGAGCCGCAGGCCACAGGCGAAGAGAGAGAAGACGCAGATGCGGGAGGTGAGCCGCACCTGCCGGCCCGCAGGTGCGGAGTCTGGGTTGCAGGTGCAGATAAGGGGGCTTTAGTAAAAAACCGTGGAAGCGGTAGCGCAGAAGCGGAAATAGACCGCAGGTACGAAAAGCCTGGATCAGAAAGTATAAAAGATTTCCTTCGCAAATTTTGGTCATTTTTCTCAATATTTCATTCGGGGTAAAGCTTTTAGGAGCAATTTCAAGGGAGATTTTCAGAGGGATTCATTGAGGTAAGGTCCTTGGTTCCTGAACTCGTTATTATGGTGATTTTTATCGTTGTTAGCATGAAATTTAAGGGAGAAATCAGTGGTAAATTGGGGGTTAGGGCTTGGTTAATTGGAGAGTTTTGAGTGGTGATTTGAGGGACCACTTGAGGTCCGATTTTGGTACTCTTGGTATGGCTGAACTCGTGAGAGTGTGAGGATCCCGAATTTGTAAATTTTACCCGATTTCGAGACGTGGACCCGAGGGCATTTTGGATTCCGTGGCATTCTTGGGTCACGTAGTATCTAGTGAGGGGATAAAGGTGGATCCGAAGAAAGTGGAAGCAGTACAAAGTTGGTCCAGACCATCCTCAGCTACAGAGATCCGTAGTTTTCTTGGCTTGGTGGGTTATTACTGTCGATTTGTTGAGGGATTTTCATCCATTGCAGCACCTATGACCAGACTGACCCAGAAGGGTGCTCCGTTCCAGTGGACGGAAAAGTGTGAGCAGAGCTTCCATGCTCAAGATAGCATTGACTACAGCCCCAATTTTGGATATTGCCTACAGGATTCGGGGTCTTATACAGTCTATTGTGATGCCTCGAGGAGTGTCCTTGGAGCGATATTGATGCAGAACGGTAGGGTGATTGCCTACGCGTCCAGTCAGTTGAAGGTACATGAGAAGAATTATCCTATCCACGATCTCGGGTTAGCTACTATTGTCGCCTTGAAGATTTGGCGTCATTATTTGTACGGTGTGCCTTGTGAGATTTATACTGAACACTGGAGTTTGCAGCATCTGTTAAAGCAGAAGGACCTTAATTTGCGCCAGAGGAGATTGTTAGAGCTACTGAAGGACTATGATATCACTATCTTATATCACCCGGGCAAGGCCAATGTGGTGGCCGATGTTTTGGTCTTCGGGCGGAGAGTTTGGGGAGTTTGGCTTATCTACCAGCAGCGGAGAGGCCCATGGTGATGGATGTTCAGGCCTTAGCCATCCTTGCTTGTGAGATTGGATCTTTCGGAGCCTAGTCGGGTCCTTGCTTGTGTAGTTTCTCGGTCTTCCTTGTTCGATCGTATCGGAGAGCGGCAGTTTAATGACCTTCATTTGTATGCCCTCAGGGACCGGGTCCTGCAGGGCGATGCTAGAGGTGTGACCATTGGTGATGACGGGAGATTGACGATGCAGGGTCGGGTTTGTGTACCCAATGTTGATGGGCTTCGGGACTTGATTCTAGAGGAAGCCCATAGTTCGCGGTACTCCATCCATCCGGGTGCCGCGAAGATGTATCAGGATTAGAGATAACACTATTGGTAGAGGCGGATGAAGAAAGATATAGTTGGGTTTGTAGCTCGGTGCCTCAATTGTGAGCAAGTAAAGTATGAGCACCAGAGACCGGGTGGAATGCTTCAGCAGATAGAGATTCCGGAGTGGAAGTCACGGACTTTGAGGAAGTTCGATGCCATTTGGGTGATTGTGGATCGGCTGACCAAGTCCGCACATTTCATTCCTGTGAGTACTACCTATTCTTCGGAGTGGTTGGCGGAGATTTATATCCGGGAGATTGTCCGTTTGCATGGTATTCCAGTTTCCATCATTTCAGATAGAGGTACTCAATTCACATCACTATTCTAGAGGGTCGTACAGCATGAGTTGGGTACTCGGGTGGAGTTGAGCACATCATTTCACCCTTAGACGGACGGACATTTCGAGCGCACTATTCAGATTATTGAGGATATGCCATGCGTGCGTGATGGAGTTTGGAGGTTCTTGGGATCAGTTTTTGCCACTGCTTGAGTTGCTTACAACAACAGCTATCAGTACAGCATTCAGATAGCACCGTATGAGGCCTTGTATAGTAGGCAATGTAGATCTCCAGTGGGTTGGTTCGAGCCGGGTGAGGCTAGATTATTGGGCACATACTTGGTTCAGGATGCTTTGGAAAAGGTTAAGGTGATTCAGGATAGACTTCGCACAGCCCAGTCCAAATAGAAGAGTTACACGGACCGGAAGGTTCGTGATGTTTCCTATATGGTTGGAGAGCGGGTTCTGCTTCGGGTTTAGCCTATGAAGGGCGTTATGAGCTTTGGGAAGAAAGGGAAGTTGACTCCGAGGTTTATTGGCCCTTTTAAGATATTGAGGCTTGTTGGACAGGTTGCTTATGAGCTTGCCTTACCTCCCAGCTTGGCAGGAGTTCATCCGGTATTTCATATTTCGAAGCTCTGGAGGCATCACGGTGATCCGTCGCATGTGTTGGATTTTAGTTCAGTCTAGTTTGACAAGGATCTATCTTATGTTAAGGAGCCGGTGGCAATATTGGACAGGCAGGTTCGGAAGCTAAGGTCAAATAGCAGTGAATCAGTGAAGGTTCAGTGGTGGGGTCAGCCGGTCGAGGAGGCGACTTGGGAGACCGAGCAGGATATGCGCAGCCGTTACCCTCATCTTTTCACTACTTCAGGTATGTCTCTATGCTCGTTCGAGGATGAACAAATGTTAAGGAGTAGGAGGATGTAACGACCCGGCCGGTCGTTTTAAGAATTTACGCCCCGATCCCCTATTAACTGCATTCCCCGTGTTTGTTTCTGCTATTCTGAGTTGCCGGGAGGTTTCGTTTTGAGTTTCGGAGTGTTTTGGGACACTTAGTCCCTAAATGAGAGTTTAAGATTTAGAACTCGGACCGTAGTTGGAGCAGTGTGAAGACGTCCTCGGAATGGAACTCCGTTAGCTCCGTTGGGTGATTTCGGGCTTAGGGGCGTGTTCAGATTGTGTTTTGGAGGTCTGTAGCTTAATTAGGCATGAAATGTCGAAAGCTGAATTTTTTTGAAGTTTCCGGTTCAACAGTGAGATTTTGATATCGGGGTTGGAATGGAATTCCGGAAGTTAGAGTAGCTCTGTAGTGTTGAATGTGATATGCTTGCATAATTTCAGGTCATTCGGACGAGGTTTGGTTGACTTTTTTATCGAAAGCGTAATTTGAGAGTTTTTGAAGTTCTTAGGCTTGAATCTGATGTTAATTGGTTGATTCGATGTCGTTTGAGGTGTTTTGAAGATTTGTATTAAGTTTGGATAGTGGTATATGACTTGTTTGTGCTTTTGGTTGAGGTCCCGAAGGCCTCGGGGTGATTTCGGATGGTTGACGGAAGATTTGGAGTTGAATTTGGCAGCTGAAGTTTATTGTTGTTGTCATAACCGCACCTGCGGTTGGGAGGCCGCAGGTGCGATGCTCGCAGAAGCGGATATGGAGCCGCAGATGCGGCCACATGCGAAGAGAGAGAAGACGCATATGTGGGAGGTGAGCCGCACCTGTGGGCCAGCAGGTGCGGAGTATGGGTCGCAGATGCGGATAAGGGGGCTTAAGTGAAAAACCGCAGAAGCGGTAGCGTAGAAGCGAAAATAGACCGTAGGTGCGAAAAGCCTGGGTCAGAAAATATAAAAGATTTGCTTCGCGATTTTTAGTCATTTTTCTCAATATTTCATTCGGGGTAAAGCTTTTGGGAGCAATTTCAAGGGAGATTTTCAGAGGGATTCAATGAGGTAAGGTCCTTGATTCCTAAACTCGTTATTATGGTGATTTTTATCGTTGTTAGCATGAAATTTAAGGGAGAAATCAATGGTAAATTGGGGGTTAGGGCATGGTTAATTGGAGAGTTTTGAGTGGTAATTTGAGGGACCATTTGAGGTCCGATTTTGGTAGTCTTGGTATTACTGAACTCGGGAGAGTGTGAGGATCCCGAATTAGTAAAATTTACCCGATTCCAAGACGTGGGCCCGAGGGGCGTTTTGGTCATTTTTCATAATTTCGCGTATTATCTTAGAATTAATTAGTGGAATCAGTTACTTGAAGTTATATTTATATTATGCAATTGATTTGAATAGATTTGGGCCATTTGGAGTCGAGTACTCGTGGCAAGAGCGTGGTTTCTGGTTGATTTGCCGGTTTGAGGTAAGTGGCCTGTCTAACCTTGTGTGGGGGAACTCCCCTTAGGATTTGGTACTGTGATATTTGAAATGCCTTGTACGTGAGGTGACGAGCGCGTACTTGTACTGATTGTTGAAAATCTTATTTTTCATTTAAGTACCTATGTTTCGTATTTTACTTCACTGTGTACACTACTTGAACTTTGAGCTTACTGTTAGCTTAGGAAAGCATGCCTAAATGACTAAATTGCCTACTTGCTCAACTGGCTTATCTGAACTCTGTGCAGCATGCTGGGTTAGAATTACCTGTATATTTTGATATCAAATTGAATTGAGATGATTATTCTTGTGTTGTTGCTCCGTGTTTACATTGGGACTACGGGCGGTTCCTGGTAGATCCCCCTTGTCTGTTTATTTGGGACTACGGATGTGGTATTCCGGTAGATCCCCCTGCACAGTTATATGGAATTACGGGACTGCACCCGGTAGGTTCCCCCAGTACTGGGTATTTACATTTGGGGACTACGGATCGGGATTTCGGTAGACCCCCGGTGCACTATAAGTTGCACTACGGGACGACACCCGGGAGATCCACTGGATATTTACATTTGGGGACTACAGGACGGTATCCTGGTAGATCCCCAGTTGCTGGACATTTACATTTGGGGGTTACAGGACGGTAACCTGGTAGATCCCCGGTTGCTGGATATTTACATTTGGGGGCTACAGGACGATATCCTGGTAGATCCCCGGTTGCTATCTCTATGTTGAGCTGTATTCTTTCTGCGATATTTTCTCTGTTGTAATTGTTGTTATTCTTATCATTATACTATGTTACTTCATACGGTTTCCTTTTCCTTATAAATATGTATATGATCAGTAGGGCCCTGACCTTCCTTGTCACTACTCGACCGAGGTTAGGCTTGGCACTTACTGGGTACCGCTGTGGTGCACTCATGCCCTTTCCTGCACATATTTTTGCGTGTGCAGATCCAGG